CCAACAAGTGTTTAATTGTGACGAAACAGGCCTCTTTTGGAAGAAAATGCCAAAGAGGACCTACATCACGCAGGAGGAAATGGCACTCCCAGGACACAAGCCTATGAAGGATAGGCTTACTCTCATGTTTTGTAGTAATGCTAATGGGGATTTTAAAGTGAAGCCTTTACTGGTGTATCACTCTGAAAATCCCAGAGTGTTCAAGAAATACAGTGTTGCAAAGAGTAATTTGTGTGTGATGTGGAAGGCTAACAGTAATGCATGGGTCACAAGGGATATTTTCCTAGACTGGTTTAATGAAGTGTTTGGCCCCAGTTTGAAGAAATACCTCCTGGAAAATAAACTGTCACTCAAGTGCCTCCTGGTAATGGACAATTATCCTGCTCATCCTCCAGACTTGGAAGAGCAAATAGTGGAGGAGTTCAGTTTCATCACGGTGAAGTTCTTGCCCCCTAATACAACTCCTCTCCTCCAGCCCATGGACCAGTAGGTCATTTCAAACTTCAAAAAACTCTACACAAAAGCAGTGTTTCAAAAGTGCTTTGAAGTGACCTCAGACACAGAATTGACCCTAAGAGAGTTCTGGAAAGATCACTTTAATACCCTCCATTGCATAAACCTTATAGGTAAGTCTTGGGAGGGAGTGACTTCCAGGACTTTGAACTCTGCTTGGAGAAAATTGTGGCCAGAATGTGTAGAAGAGAGGGATTTTGAAGGGTTTGGGGCTGACCCTAAGGAGCCTTTGCCAGTTGTGGAATCTATTGTGGCATTGGAAATGTCCCTGGGGTTGGAGGTGAGTGGTGAGGATGTGGAAGAGTTGGTGGAGGACCACAGGGAAGAGCTAACCACTGAAGAGCTTCATCTGCAACAGCAAGAGATCACAGCTCAGGAAACTGCTGCAGAGGAGGAGGAGGAAGAGAGATAGAGGAAGGTGCCTTCTTCAAAGATTAAGGACATTTGTGCAAAGTGGACTGAAGTGCAAACATTTATGGATGAACTTCACCCTAACAAAGCTGTTGCAGGCCGTATTGGCAACATGTACAATGACAGTGTTGTGTCCCACTTCAGACAAATCTTAAAGAAACGCCAGAAACAGAGCTCTGGACAGATATTTTGTGCGACAGGGTTCCAGTGACTCTCAAGTTGTTCCCAGTGCCAGTGTCTTGAAAAAACAAAGAAGGGAAGTAACCCCAGATAAGGACTTCATACCTGAAGTCCTAATGGAAGGAGATTCTCCTTCCAAACAATAGTGTACACCTTCCTCCTATCCCCTCCTCCCGTCTTCCATCCACCCAGAAGTCTTCAGTAAAGGTAAGTGTAATGTTATTATTATTTTTTATATGCATGTACTTGATTTCTCATTGTTTTCAGTATGTAAATCTTTATTTAATTTGAAAAAAAAAATGTTATTTTAATATTTTTGGGTGTCTGGAACGGATTAATTTTATTTCCATTATTTCTTATGGGGAAAATGGTTTCGCTATTTGGCAATTTCGACTTTCGGCAGGCTCTCTGGAACGGATTAACCCTTTGGTAGGCAAAAACGAAAATTGCTAATTTTGAAATGTTTTTTCCTTATGAGTGGATAGTGTGTCTCAGTATAAAGTAAATGAGCCCATACAAAGAAATATGTGAAAGTTTGTTTTCAATCAATTGCCAATACGAGAAGACCGACAAAAGTAGGTCTTGCCTATCTAAGGGTGAACATTTTTAAATGTTGCAAAGTTGCAGTTGTTAATAAAACACCAAATAACTATTTTTTAATTTTATTATACAAAAAGACAATATCAAAGACATAAATTAAACTTGTTTTCAGACATTTTGTAAGTATTAAAAAAATACAAAAATGAGTCAAGTAGCAACATAGGCACATTGCAAAGGGATATAACTTTCAATTCCCACATTCCTGAGTTTCCTAAGAAAGAATAATCATTCTAGATCACTAATTTGTACAATTTCTATCCTTCTTGATGTATATATTTACTTTGCATATGGCAAAGGAAAATGAGGATGTGACATGATGTTTGTGTTTGCTGCACAATTTGCATCTAAGTAGCTTGCCTGGCACTGGCCCGTGAGAATTTTGGCTTTTTGGATGGTCTATCTTCCTCCTCATCATCACTTGACACCTCTGCATCCTGTGGCAAGTACTCATCACTACTGTCAAGCAATTCCAGGTGATCTGGCTCTGGATCTGAGTCACTTTCCTCCAAAATGCAGAGATATTTGGACTTGTCTTTGGAGGACTCACCATAAAAGAATTTCTGATTGATCTGGAGGGACAATAAAAATGTTCTGTACACACCCAGACTACTACAGAATTGATATATGCATTAAAATTATTTTTATAAATATTTATTTACTGAAAATTGAAATTGGGCCAAAATAGGCAGGAACGATATTTATCGGTCCTTTTTTGTTGCACTTTTTTCCTTTGCATGGTGCACTCACATAAGGCTTCACACAGACTTCATATATATATCAAAATATGCCTAAACTATTCATTTACACACTAGAAACACAAATGAGTACTTACCAACATTGTAGAGGGTAAAATCCAAGGGTATAGCAGTGTCACTCGATGAAAAAAACGTCTCTTGGCGACGCCAAGCTAGAAGTGTTTACATTTTGGTCTCTCAACCAATGGGAAGCGAGCAGAAGCCATCACCACTTAGCTGGAGTGACTCAGGGAAGGCTTGTGATTGGTCAGAAATAGAGAATGGGAACCCAGATGCTCAGTGGGTGTAGGAGGAATGCACTGAATATCATACTTTCAAGAACGACAATTGTCGTTCTTGCAACATGAAACTCGGGGGGGGGGGGGTCCACTGTATCTGTAAATGCCTAGTATTGTATTATCATTGAAACCTATGTGTTGATATTCCTGTTGTGTATTGTGTTGATATTCCTGTTTATTAAGCTGTCCATTTGCAGTGTGTTGCTCAAATGTCATTGTAATTGGTCTCTTGTTTAGTGTTCTGTGACTTTGTATACTGTACAACTTAATCAATTATTTTTTTTCAACAGACTGGCTGTATCCCACCAAGGAAGGGTGGCCTAAAAAAAAAAAAGTTTCTCTCTTTAAATTTAGTAATGTATACAGGAGAAGGGGTTACTAGCTCCTTGCTCCTGGCATTTTAGTCACCTCTTGCAACGCACATGGCTTACAGGGGAAGAATTCTGTTCCACTTCTCCATGGAGATTAATTAGCTATTGATGTCATGTAAATAAAATTGTGTCCTTCCCAAAATTAACCCTTGCAGCACCAGAAAATGGTTTCTACTAATTCATTTCATTGTTATATAATATTTTTTTTTTTTTTTTTTTTTTTTTTTATCACACCGGCCGATTCCCACCAAGGCAGGGTGGCCCGAAAAAGAAAAACTCACCATCATTCACTCCATCACTGTCTTGCCAGAAGGGTGCTTTACACTACAGTTTTTAAACTGCAACATTAACACCCCTCCTTCAGAGTGCAGGCACTGTACTTCCCATCTCCAGGACTCAAGTCCGGCCTGCCGGTTTCCCTGAACCCCTTCATAAATGTTACTTTGCTCACACTCCAACAGCACGTCAAGTATTAAAAACCATTTGTCTCCATTCACTCCTATCAAACACGCTCACGCATGCCTGCTGGAAGTCCAAACCCCTCGCACACAAAACCTCCTTTACCCCCTCCCTCCAACCTTTCCTAGGCCGACCCCTACCCCACCTTCCTTCCACTACAGACTGATACACTCTTGAAGTTATTCTGTTTCGCTCCATTCCCTCCACATGTCCGAACCACCTCAACAACCCTTCCTCAGCCCTCTGGACAACAGTTTTGGTAATCCCGCACCTCCTCCTAACTTCCAAACTACGAATTCTCTGCATTATATTCACACCACACATTGCTCTCAGACATGACATCTCCACTGCCTCCAGCCTTCTCCTCGCTGCAACATTCATCACCCATGCTTCACACCCATATAAGAGCGTTGGTAAAAGTATACTCTCATACATTCCCCTCTTTGCGTCCAAGGACAAAGTTCTTTGTCTTCACAGACTCCTAAGTGCACCACTCACCCTTTTCCCCTCATCAATTCTATGATTCACCTCATCTTTCATAGACCCATCTGCTGACACGTCCACTCCCAAATATCTGAATACATTCACCTCCTCCATACTCTCTCCCTCCAATCTGATATCCAATCTTTCATCACCTAATCTTTTTGTTATCCTCATAACCTTACTCTTTCCTGTATTCACTTTCAATTTTCTTCTTTTGCACACCCTACCAAATTCATCCACCAATCTCTGCAACTTCTCTTCAGAATCTCCCAAGAGCACAGTGTCATCAGCAAAGAGCAACTGTGACAACTCCCACTTTATGTGTGATTCTTTATCTTTTAACTCCACGCCTCTTGCCAAGACCCTTGCATTTACTTCTCTTACAACTCCATCTATAAATATATTAAACAACCACGGTGACATCACACATCCTTGTCTAAGACCTACTTTTACTGGGAAATAATTTCCCTCTTTCCTACATACTCTAACTTGAGCCTCACTATCCTCGTAAAAACTCTTCACTGCTTTCAGTAACCTACCTCCTACACCATACACCTGCAACATCTGCCACATTGCCCCCCTATCCACCCTGTCATATGCCTTTTCCAAATCCATAAATGCCACAAAGACCTCTTTAGCCTTATCTAAATACTGTTCACTTATATGTTTCACTGTAAACACCTGGTCCACACACCCCCTACCTTTCCTAAAGCCTCCTTGTTCATCTGCTATCCTATTCTCCGTCTTACTCTTAATTCTTTCAATAATAACTCTACCATACACTTTGCCAGGTATTAACAGACTATAATATATTCAGGCAACTCTTGGAGAATTTGTTTCAAAATGTTGAACTAATTGTGTTAAAAGATCAGCAAGTATAAATCTTTAATTTTAATACTGTAAGTGGTATGTGAATGAAAATTAAATTGAATACCCTTTTGTTTTTGCAGGTTATATTGTAAATGTGCTGATCTCTCGAGTATATATGAAGCACAAAAATTTGCACTAACTACTCCATGTAATGCTCCAGCCATGTATATTCATAGGTGAGTATAGTATGGTCACTTAATTTTGTTATTAGGTATAGTCACTCCTTTGGTCAAATAGTAGTCCTCAATACCATTTTGTATAATTCTCAAGAATATGCACAAGGATTCAGAGAGCTGAGGATGAGTTCTTGAAGGGTGGAAGGAAGGTGAGGAAGTGGTCATCTTAGAAAGTGCTAAGAGCTTGAACATCCTGTGTGCGTGTGTGGGCTTGTCAGATCAGAGCGAGTTGAGATGAATGGGTTTTATGACGTTGTGATATTGGTGTGTAGGAAGGTAACATTTATGAAAGGATTCAGGGGAAACTGGTTAGCTGGACTCGAGTTCTGGAGGTAGGAAATACAGTGCCTAAAATCTGAAGGAAGGATGGGGAGATTATATTTTGGAGGGTAATTTGAGTTGTGATGTCTGCATGCTCATGGTAAGTCAACTATGGAGTGAATGATAGTGAAAGCTATAATTTTTGCATAACCATACCTTGGTTGGAGACAAGCAGTGTGATTAAAAATAATATATAAAAACTGCAAGGTGCACAGGCCAGAGTTTAGCCTGCATATCCTTTCAAGGGGGTGCCTTGATCCTGGTGCAGGAATTGGAGCTACCCTTCTCTTGGATCAAATCTGACTACCTCCCATTCTTGAGGCATCGTATGAATGCTGCAGGGTTAGAGCTTCTGAATGATTATAATAATTAGCCTAAATGCACACAATACTTCACAAGAGAGGAAGAAGACAATTAGTTATGCTTCTTGTCATTTCTGACACTGCCTGATTTTTCTAGCAAACAGAAATCAATGATTTCTAACATATTATAACTCCAGTAAATAAGATATTACGTAGAGGTGATAAAAAGTTTTAAAGTGCAAACAGACAATGGGGACCCAGTTAGATAATGTTTTAAGGCTTATGAACAGTCACCCACTTGACTGTCTTAGCACCAGAGAAATAATGACTTCTTATTAACCCTTTCAGGGTCCAGAGGCCAAATTTCAAAATGTGCACCAGGGTCCAAGAATTTTCAAAAAATAATTTTGTTATTTTTTCTTATGAAATGGTAGAGAATCTCTTTCTGAAGGTAATAAAACAAAAAGTACAAAATTTGATGGAAATTTTGCCGACTTTGACTCCCATTTTAGGCCAATTACAGTATTCCAGTCAACCAAATTCTTAGCTATTTCACTAGTATTACTTCTATCGATTGAGCATAAGAAATTGCCAAGTCAACTGTTTCAACAACAAAATAGCGACTGGAAATTGGTAATTTGGCCAATTTAATGCAAAGTTCAAAATATTCCAATTTCAAAATGGGGTCTGGAATAAACAATGCAGGCATTCCTGGCACTAAACTAACATTTCCTCTGTTCATTAGTTATGTTTTCAGGCTTTACAAATGAATTCCATTTTGATTTTTATTCACATAATGAACTTTTATTCAAAAAATAGAAGAATTACTGTTATGCAATACTGTAATAATTGTATAAATAATATCACCACATTTGTGAATGTATATCAGACCCACCAGCTGTCATGTATTAAACTTGTGAGGTCATTTGTTTACTCTTGAACATCGGCAAAAATTTAACATTTCTGCTACTTTGAGCTCAGTTTCAAGCCATTTCCAGTACTAAAAACCAATCAAAATCATCTCTGTTTCTGTAGTATATCTTCCATTCTATCAAATGAGACCAAGAAATTGCAAATGCAACTTTAAAAAACATACGAAAAAACACTGCAAATTTGCTGTTTTAATAAAAAATTACGGTCTCGGTTTTTCTCTCATTACGCACTGTGTGCTGCACGATTTGTTTTATGTAGTGCACACATACCACATAGATGTATTCTCTCATATCTAGGCCCAAATTTACTACTCACAGCATATCAGAGTGAGCTGAGCTCATGGCGTAGATCTACGGTTTGGACCCTGAACGTAAAGCCGTAGATCTACGGCACGGACCCTGAAAGGGTTAAGGGGATGGGCTGTTGCATGATAATTATTCATATTATGTTGGTTTAACACAAGTATGTATTAAACTTAAAGGTTTAGTGTAGATTTTCCAAATAATTTTTAATTTTACAGTATGGCAGACCAGGTTGCTCTATTCCCTCATTTGGAACCAGTCATATGTGCACAAGAGAAAGTTTCTCCAGTGACTACTTTCATAATTCCTAAGGAAGAGCAGGTACCTCATGTAACTATTATGAGGCATCTCGGAGAACACAAGTACATGGGTTTAATCGACAAGTTTGTAGGTAAGACATTGTTTAAACAGTCAGTACTCACAGTACAGTGGACCCTCGCCTAACGATATTAATCCGTTCCTGAGAGCTCATTGTTAGCCGAAATTATCGTTAGCCGAGTTAATTTTCCCCATAAGAAATAATGGAAATCCAATTAATCTGTTCCAGACAGCCAAAAGTGTTAAAAAAAATTTTTTTCATGAAATATACATTTCCCTACAAAGAAAACAATAAGACATGCACAATAACTACATAAATAAATGTTAAAATGACACTTACCTTTATTGAAGAGTATTGATGAGTGATGAGACACTGTTTTTCTTGAACACACTGGAATTTTCAGAGTAATACACCAGCAAAGACTTCACTTTGCAATCCCCACTAGCATTACAACAAAACATGAGAGTTAGCCTGTCTTTCATAGGCTTGTGTCCTAGGAGTGCCTTTTCCTCCTGAGTAATGTAGGTCCTGTTTGGCATTTTCTTCCAGAACAGGCTTGTTTCGTCACAATTGAACACTTGTTGGGGGATGAATTTTTCAGCTTCGCCATGCCTTATCACACTGTGTCTGCCACTACAATTCTTAAATCTCTCAAACCAACCTTTGCTGGCCTTAAATTCACCAATATGAGCACTAGTTCCAGGCATTTTTTCCTGTTTACCTGGGTGTTAGTTGATTGTTGTGGGTCGCATCCTGGGGGACAAGATTAAGGACCCCAATGGAAATAAGTTACAGTCCTCGATGATACACTGACTTTCTTGGGTTATCCTGGGTGGCTAACCCTCTGGGGTTAATCGTTTCTCGGTAATTGTTTCACGTTAAGCCACACCAACAACACACACTCCACATCTTTGAGTAGTACAGCTGATGGTGGTGCAGCAACAGCTGACTGGTGTAACAGCAGCTGACTGATCCAGCAACAGCTGACTGGTCCAGCAACAGCTGACCGTGATGCAGCAACAGCTCACCATGGTGCAGCAACAGCTAACTGATCCAGCAACAGCTGACTGGTCCAGCAACAGCTGATCGTGGTGCAGCAACAGCTGACCATGGTGCAGCAACAGCTGACCATGGTGCAGCAACAGCTGACTGGTCCAGCAACAACTGACTGGTCCAGCAACAGCTGACTGTGGTACGATAGTATTTTTTCACCCTTTTTACCACAGGGTTGCCACTAGAAGCTTTCTTTGGGCTCATGGTGGCTTATATAACAGTTACAAGCACTACAAGCAATGGAATAATACAAAATGTATCGAATGTATGCATGCAACCGGCCACCCTGGCTTGTAAACAATGACGGCAGGGCTGGATGGACAGGTTCGGGACGAGTCATGTTGGTCATAAACAGCTGATGGTGGTGCAGCAGCAGCTAACTGTGGTGCAGCAGCAGCTGACCGTGGTGCAGCAGCAGCTGACCGTGGTGCAGCAGCAGCTGACCGTGGTGCAGCAACATCTCACCGTGGTTCAGCAACAGCTGACTGTGGTGCAGCAGCAGCTGACAGTGGTTCAGCAACAGCTGACTGTGGTGCAGCAGTAGTTGACCATGGTGCAGCAGCAGTTGACCATGGTGCAGCAGCAGCTGACTATGGTGCAGCAGCAGTTGACCGTGGTGCAGCAGCAGCTGACTGTGGTGCAGCAGCAGCTGACTGTGGTGCAGCAGCAGCTGACTGTGGTGCAGCAGCAGCTGACTGTGGTGCAGCAGCAGCTGATCATGGTGCAGCAACAGCTGATGGTGGTGCAGCAACAGCTGACTGTGGTGCAGCAGCAGCTGACCATGGTGCAGCAACAGCTGACGGTGGTGCAGTAGACTGGTGCAGCAACAGCTGACCGTGGTGCAGCAACACCTGACTGCGGTATGATAGTATTTCTCACCCTTTTTACCACAGGGTTGGCACTAGAAGCTTTCTTTGGGCCCATGGTGGCTTATTTAGCAGTTACAAGCACTATAAACAATGGAATAATACAAAATGTATCAAATCTATGCATGCAACCGGCCACCCTGGCTTGTAAACAATGACAGCAGGACTGGATGGACAGGTTCGGGACGAGTCATGTTGGTCAGAAACAGCTGACGGTGGGGCAGCAGCAGCTGACCGTGGTGCAGCAGCAGCTGACCGTGGTGCAGCAGCAACTGGCCGTGGTGCAGGAGCAGCTAATCGTGGTTCAGCAACAGCTGACTGTGGTGCAGCAGCAGTTCACCATGGTGCAGCAGCTGACTGTGGTGCAGCAGCAGCTGACTGGTTCAGCAACAGCTGACTGTGGTGTAGCAGCAGTTGACCATGGTGCAGCAACAGCTGACGGTGGTGCAGCAGACTGGTGCAGCAACAGCTGACCGTGGTGCAGCAACACCTGACTGCGGTATGATAGTATTTCTCACCCTTTTTACCACAGGGTTGGCACTAGAAGCTTTCTTTGGACCCATGGTGGCTTATTTAGCAGTTACAAGCACTATAAACAATGGAATAATACAAAATGTATCGAATGTATGCATGCAACCGGCCACCCTGGCTTGTAAACAATGACGGCAGGGCTGGATGGACAGGTTCGGGACGAGTCATGTTGGTCAGAAACAGCTGACTGTGGTGCAGCAGCAGCTGACCGTGGTTCAGCAACAGCTGTGGTGCAGCAGCAGTTCACCATGGTGCAGCAGCAGCAGCTGACTGTGGTGCAGCAGCAGCTGACAGTGGTTTAGCAACAGCTGACTGTGATGCAGCAGCAGTTGACCATGGTGCAGCAACAGCTGATGGTGGTGCAGCAGACTGGTGCAGCATCAGCTGACCCCAGTGCAGCAACACCTGACTGCGGTATGATAGTATTTCTCGCCCTTTTTACCACAGGGTTGGCACTAGCTTTCTTTGGGCCCATGGTGGCTTATTTAGCAGTTACAAACACTATAAACAATGGAATAATACAAAATGTATTGAATGTATGCATGCAACCAGCCATCCTAGCTTGTAAACAATGACGGCAAGACAGCTGAGGCGCTCAGGCTGGACAGACAGGTTTGGGAGGAATCACGTTGGGCAAGTTTTTTATCGTTAAGCGGGCCAAAATTTTTACACTCAAATGCTTCGTTAGGCGAGGGTCCACTGTATAATGTAGGAAGATCCTACGCTTTCCTGTCTCTTTGAATGTAGGGGAAAGGCCTTTTTTTATTTTGTAAGTAAAATTGCTTAGTCATTGTTCCTAATTTAGATCGAGTTCATTTGATTTTTATCTTTGATATATTGTTCCTCTGGGGAACTCCCTATCTTTGAGAAGGTGACCATATTTAGAATCTTGATCAAAAACGATGAACATTTTAACTCTGAGAAATATTCAAAATAATTGCAAAATATTTTTTTATTCTTAGATGTCATAAAACTGAAAACGTTTTCATTTGCGTTTAAAAAAAAAAAATTGCGTACCGGGGTGAGGAGTACCCTCGGCAAGCTACAATTCTAGTCACTGCATTATGCCGGGTGAGTGCCCTGGCATAATGCCATGATGAAAATCAAAGGCCTACCATACAGGGGAAGGGGGTCTTCTGTTGTCAGTGCATTTTGCTGGGTAGCAGCCATTAGCATGATGTCATGGCCTGCCAACTCCTCAGTGCTCACATGGCTGCCGTGGTGAGAGGTAGTGTTGCACTTTTGTCTCTCATCTGCCCCATCTTTTGTCTGGTGTTCCCTTTGGTTTTGGGGCTATTCATGTTTGATTATGGGTAAAAGGAAGGCTTTAATGCATGAAACTATAGCTCAAATCATAGGGCTTCACAAAGCTGAGCACCAGACATAAGAAATAATAGAAAATGTTGGTGTGTGTGTGAGCATTCAGTAAGGAACTGGGTGCAGCATTTCATGGCTGGTGGCAGTGTCGAGTTACCGTCTGCCAGATCTCGGCCTGGCCCCTCAAAGAAGACATCTGTTTATATGTTAACTTTGTTAACCCTTAAACTGTCCAAATGTTGATCTACGTTCACTCGCATAGCTCTCCGAATATTTTCAAAATTTTTTTTTTTAATGAATAGTGCATTTTTATAAATGTTATGGGATAAAAAAAAATTTTAGGGCCAGTACTTACTGAGATATAAGCCCGCAAATGGTGAGGTGTCAGCAACATGGAGCACTACCTCTTGCAGAAACAATAAACCTTTATTGTTTTTTACCAATTCTTTTCTATTTTTTGTTGTTTTCATGTTATGATAATAATGTTTTGTTGCAGATCTTTTGATTTCATAGCCAATTCTTGTTGAGACACAAATGTTTGGTACTGAATTAGTAATCATACTGTCACAAACACACATGTTCACACTTATAAATGAATTTGTACACCTGGTTCAATCACATCTTTTTTTTTTTCGACAAACTGGCCGTATCCCACCAAGGTAGGGTGGCCCAAAAAGAAAAATGAAAGTTTCTCTTTTTAAATTTAGTAATTTATACAGGGGAAGGAGTTACTAGGCCCTTGCTCCCTGCATTTTAGTCGCCTCTTACAACACGCATGGCTTACGGAGGAAGAATTCTGTTCCACTTCCCCATGGAGATAGGAAATAAACAAGAACAAGAACTAGAAAGAAAATAGAAGAAAACCCAGAGGGGTGTGTATATATATGCTTATACATGTATGTGTAGTGTGACCTAAGTGTAAGTAGAAGTAGCAAGACGTACGTGAATACTTGCATGTTTCTTTCAACACACCGTCCGTATCCCACCGAGTTGGGGTGGCCCAAAAAGAAAAATGAAAGTTTCTCTTTTTAAATTTAGTAATTTATACGGGAGAAGGGGTTACTAGCCCCTTGCTCCCGGCATTTTATTCGCCTCTTACAACACACATGGCTTACAGAGGAAGAATTCTGTTCCACTTCCCCATGGAGATAAGAGGAACTAAACAAGAACTAGAAAGAAAATAGAGGAAAACCCAGAGGGGTGTGTATATATATGCTTGTGATGAATGGTTTGAAAAACCGACAAGTTGAAGATTGAGACACTTATGCAACATATGGGAATCTTTATTCAGGAAACGTTTCGCCA